CCCCCCTGTCCCCCAGGATCGTGTGCCGCACCGGGGAGGCTCCGGAGCCCTTTTCGGATGTGGTCACGGTGAACGTGAGCCGGGAAGGGCGGTCCAGGGAGCGATATTCCTACGTGGTGAGTGCCTGGCTCCTCAGGGTTTCTTTGGTGATTCCCTCGCCCTTAGAAGTGACTCTGCAGCTATCTGCACCTTCCCCAGCTGGCTGAGACACAGAATTCACAGCTTCTTGTCGGGGTTCTCAGGGAGCCATTGGGGTGTGGTCTCACCTGGGGTGTGGCAGCACCGCAGCAGATGTTGGCAGCTCCTGCAGGGGTGCATCTCCTGCCAGCTTTACGGACATTTCTCCTGCTATARAAAGGAGCTCAGTTCTCTTCCATCTCTTTTGCTGAGGTGCTGTTATTACCTGTGAGATTTTTTGAGACTTGTGAAGACATTCCATGAACTCACATTATTTAGAACTGATATTTTTGCTGCGGTTTGTGTTAGTTTTTGCATGAAATAATGTGTAGGGATTAGACTGAAGCTAAGCCCACRTCACTGTACAATGAAAAGCCCGTTACAGCTTCGTGCTGTGCTGTCTCACAAAGATAGCTTTCATCTCTATAAATCTGGGAGAAATCCATTCTGTCCCCCATGAACCTCGTTCTTGGCTGGATGGTGTTTATGGACAGCCCTGCTGTGTGGTKCTGAGGTCATGGGGAGTGCTTGGAGCCTTTGTGCCTCCGCTCCAGCTTCAGCTGGGACAAGACAGCTCATGCTGCAAGCTGGTGGCCTGGAGGAGACTCAGAGCCCCAGGAAATCCTCTGATTCCTGCTGGGCATTGTGAGGAATTTGGGGCAGGTTGTGGAGTGTGATTTCCCAGCCTGGGGTGTGATTTACCACTTCTGTTCTGAAACCCTGCCGGCAGAAGRTTTTGCTGTGCTGCTGTTGGAGCATCACAGTGCTGGACACTTACACGTTCTCAATCAATTCCCATGTGCAGTGTGGAACATCCAGCTGCAGATTTACCAGGCTAGAAAACAGATTTTCCCTTTGTTTTAGCTTCCCGTGGTGCAGTCCATAGCTCCCCCGAATGGCCCGAAGGCAGGAGGGACCAGAGTGACCATCAGAGGTGTCCGGCTGGACGTGGGCTCAGAGCTCCGTGTGCTCATCAACTCCTCCAAGGAGTGCACTGAGCTCAGGTGGGAGCAGGGCTGGGGCTGCYTCTGGGGTGGTGACAAGAGGCAAAGCCTTAGCAAGGCTGGAATTGTCCCCAAGAGGTCAGGCAGAGTCAGGGTTTTGGTGGGGGCACCACAGCTCTGCCCTGGCTGTCCTTTCCCTGTCTGTGCAGGGAATGGTTCCAGGGCTGGAGGGGCTGAGAGCATCTCCTTAGCAGAGTCATGGGGTGGGATATGGGATGGGATGGGATGGGATGGGATGGGATGGGATGGGATGGGATGGGATATGGGATGGGATGGGATGGGATGGCATGGGATGTTACGGAAGCTCTTTGTCACCCGTGGCTGCCCTGCCCCTGGGGGTGCTCAGGCCAGACTGCAGCCCCTGTCTGTGCTGTGGCCATCCCAGCTGTCCCTTGTGTCCCCACACAGCCGCAGTGACAGCTCCATCAGCTGCACCATGCCCGCGGCAGAGCTCACCATGGCCGTGCCAGTCTGCGTGCAGTTCGACAACAGGTCTTGTGCCAGCCACAACATCACCTTCAATTACGAGAAGAACCCGGTTATATCAGACATCAACCCCAAAAAGAGCCAGATCAGGTGAGACAGCCTGTCAGGAAAGGGTCAGCTCCAGGTAGGAGAGGCAGGACAGGGCTCTGCTGGGAGACAGGGGCTGCTCAGCCTGGGCTGGGTGGGTGTGGAGGGCACCTCAGCTTKCTCTCTGAGTACTCCATGGGAGGAGGAGAGGTCTCAACACCAGGACTGCTCATTTTGATGCATTTAGGAGAGGAAAAGTATCAGCCTTGGTAACTATACTGTGCACACCTGGTGAGTGCTTTAGGRAGACCCTGAGGATTTTTCTTGGCAGTAAAACTCCTGGAGGTTGAGATTTGAACTTTTGGATTTCAGCCTTCCCCAGGGTCACAGTATTTAATTTTTAAAGAGTGTTGCTTTTAGTTTCCCATCTSTGTGGAGTTCTCAGGCTCCTGTTCTTTTGGATATCATGGTGAAATGCCCCCTGCTCGGCTGTGGAGCCTGAAGAGCCCAGGGCTGAGGGGAATCTGGGAGGGCAGTGGCTGTGGGGGCAGGACAGGGCTGGAAGCAGCGTGCCCAGGGGCTGTACAAGCAGCTCTGGTGCTCTGATCCTGGGAACAAAGCTGCCTCTCAGTGCTCCCAGTGCCAAGGCYGCAGGCTGTGGGAGGGTCAGGGGGAAGGCACAGCCCCTCACAGGCTCTCTGCWGCTGAGAGGAAAGAGCACTGCCTAAAAAGAGACAGGGGAGGAATGTCCATGCCTGTAGTCACAAACCACTGGGGTTTTTCTCAGCCACCTTAGTCTGCTTCCTTGGTACTTAGAGCAGTTTCCGAATTTCAGAGAGCAGGGACCATAACTGCAGGTTTTGTGCAGCCTCCAGCACGGCTGGTGCAGTCTGGCTGCCTCAGCACATCGCTGGGGCTGGACCATGAGGCRTCAATAACTTGTGCAAAAATTTACCTGGATCTGGTTTCTCTTACCACATTGATAAAATAATCCATATCACTAAAACATAAACCAAAACAAAAGTTGTACCCTAATCTGCAGATGTGACAGGCTTCTAGTCAGAAACTTGTGTCATAACTTCTGGTGATATCCCCTGGCTTCAGAAAATCCTGGAGCCCCAGACCCAAAGTCATTGTGCCTGGAGTGCTCCTCAGGGCTTGTGAGTCTTGCCTTTTCCCTGGAAAATGCTCCAAACAAGTCAAATGTGATTTGGGGAAGGGGAAGGTGGATCTGGGGTGCAGATGAGTGGTGATGGCCCTCCAGCCACTGCTCTGCCTGGTGCACATCGGGGCTGCTCGTTGCTCTTGGTGGGTGACTGCACAGTCAGAGGCACACGTGTTGCACTCTGCACCCCCAGCAGATCCAAAACACAGCAACTTTCATATTTGGATCTAAATCAGAAGTTCCTGGAAGATGCAGGACGAGGGACTGTTCTCTCTCCAGATCTCCTGGTTCTCTGTGGGTTGCTGCAGGGCAGGGGCAGAGGCAGGGATGGGGATGGGTWGGGGATGTCTCTGGCCATGCCTTTGCAGCCACTTCCATGGCCAGTGGCCAGGACAGCTGCTGCACACCCTGGCACCAGAGGCTGCAATCTGGGCACTGGGAGTGAGGGAACAGCTCACTGATGCTGGAAGAGGTCCTCTGCTTTCCATCTACTCCTCCTTCCTGCCTTCCCTGAYACTGTGGTAGCTGTGGGGATCCCTSCTGGAAGCAGGAAGAAGACTTTGGCCATTGGGTCACATCTTCTGCTCAGGCAGCTTGGAAACATCTCTGAGAAAATGGCAGGAGGGAGATGMAGCCATCCCACCCCGCTGCTGCACTGCCTTATGCTGTCACTGTCTCTTTCTTCCCTTCTCCAAGYGGAGGCAGGATCATCACCCTGGAAGGAAGAGGCTTTGGGCTGGTGCAGAACGTGTCCATGGCTGTGCGTGGCATCGGCAGAGAGCACACGGTGGGTGAGGGGACAGGGATGGTGTCCTGTGCTGGACTGGGCTGTGTCCTGTGCTGGACAGTGCTGGTGTGTGTCCTGTGCTGGACATTGCTGGTGTCCTGTGCTGGACAGKGCTGGTGTGTGTCCTGTGTCCTGTGCTGGACAGTGCTGGTGTCCTGTGCTGGACAGGGCTGTGTCCTGTGCTGGACATTGCTGTGTCCTAATGCTGGACTGGGCTGTGTCCTGTGCTGGACAGTGCTGGTGTCCTGTGCTGGACTGGGCTGTGTCCTGTGCTGGACAGTGCTGGTGTGTGTCCTGTGCTGGACATTGCTGGTGTCCTGTGCTGGACAGTGCTGGTGTGTGTCCTGTGCTGGACTGGGCTGTGTCCTGTGCTGGACTGGGCTGTGTCCTGTGCTGGACAGTGCTGGTGTGTGTCCTGTGCTGGACATTGCTGGTGTCCTGTGCTGGACAGGGCTGGTGTGTGTCCTGTGTCCTGTGCTGGACAGTGCTGGTGTCCTGTGCTGGACAGGGCTGTGTCCTGTGCTGGACATTGCTGTGTCCTAATGCTGGACTGGGCTGTGTCCTGTGCTGGACAGGGCTGGTGTCCTGTGCTGGACTGGGCTGTGTCCTGTGCTGGACAGGGCTGTGTCCTGTGCTGGACAGGGCTGTGTCCTGTGCTGGCCAGGGCTGCATTCCTGCTGCTGGCCCTGGTCAGGGTGGGATATTGGCCTCAGGAGGGCTGGGAGCTCTCCCAGTGTGGGTTCTGACATGCTCTCTCTCCTTGCAGCGCTGTAAGGTTCACACTGACACTGCCATCACCTGCCCCTCCCCAGCTGCCTCCAATGTCACGGTGGGCAGCAARCCAGCCCCCGTGGATTTCTACCTGAACGGGCGCCTGTACACGGACGAGCGCTCGGCTCTGGACGAGGAGCTGTCCCCCGAGGAGGCTCTGCACATCAGCAGCTTCAGCCTGGGCTACTACGCCGACCCCCAGTTCTCCACGGCCAAGAAGGAGAAGTGGATCAAGCACCACCCCGGCGAGCCCCTGACCCTGGTCATACACGTAAGAGCGTGGCTGTCCCAGCTCTGCTGCTCTCGGGGGCTGCTGTCCCCACCCTGGGGACACCTCAGTCCTGAGTGCCAGCACAGGGACTGTGCACAGACACAGAGGGACAGGGGGAGCTGGACAGTGGGAGCAGTGATGCATCTTCTGCATTTCTCAGCCCCAGAAGATGCAGCCTGGTTTGGKGATGCCTTCTGAGGCTCAAATGATGCCAGAGAGCTGCCTGGGGCTGAATGGAATGCTGGACGTGGGGAAAGAGTGACAATGCCCTGGCCTGGAGCCAGGCAGGTGCTGCAGAAGGGTCTGACAGTGGGTGTTTATTCCTGCAGAAACACATCAGGCATTCTTCTCTTTTGGCTGCTGAATTCAGCTCAGCTTACAAGGAAGTCGGGGTGCAGAAGTTGGCCTGGACAATGAGCAATAGTAATTGAAAGGCCATTGTTTGCTGCAGGATATCCTCACTGTTTGCAACGTGCTCCAGAAATGTGCTCCCCTTTCCCAGGCGTTGCAGGCGCATCCCCTGGCTGTCCCCTTGGCTGCACATCCTTCCCCACTCCCAGATGGGCTCTTACAGCCTTATCTTCCATGCACAGCAGCCCTGATCAAAAGCACATTTGTSCAGGTTCCATGAGGGGCTTGTTCATCCTGTGCCCCATGCTGAGTGAAGAATGCAAGGCAGGAAAATGGGGAATGGCCTGGTTTTGGCTTTCCTGTGGTGTGCTGGAAAAACATCCTTGGTGAGGGAGAGTTATCCYGGGTCTGCAGGGAATATGGAAAGAAAAGCAGGAAGATGGATTGCTGTTCTAACTGCTGTATTGCAGCCTGACAKCCCGATTCTATTTCTGTCCTTAGAAAGAGCCTGACAGCCTGGGCCTGGAGAGCAATGAGTACCAGGTGAAAATCGGCCTGATCTCGTGTGAGATTCAGATTGTGTCAGACAGAGTCATCCACTGCTCCATCAACGAGTCGCTGAGCACGTCGGAGAGGCAGTTACCTGTGACGGTGAGCGYTGGGACACAGGGTCCCACTGCCTGTCCTGAGTGTGCAGCACCCACCCAGCTCATCCCTGGCATCTGCTGAGGGTGGCAGGGTGGGCACAGCACCTCATGCTGTGCTGGGTACAGCAGGATACAGCCCAGGGTGGGCACAGCACCTCATGCTGTGCTGGGTACAGCAGGATACAGCCCAGGGTGGGCACAGCACCTCATGCTGTGCTGGGTACAGCAGGATACAGCCCAGGGTGGGCACAGCACCTCATGCTGTGCTGGGTACAGCAGGATACAGCCCAGGGTGGGCACAGCACCTCATGCTGTGCTGGGTACAGCAGGATACAGCCCAGGCTGTGCTGAGGGTCTGCCACGCTGGGACACCAGGGGTACCTGCTGAGAGACCAGGGGAGGTTCCTCTGTTCCCAGAGCCATGGTGAGCTCGCAGGAATGCCAGCTTTTGTCACTCGCAGTGATTTTCTGCTCCTCACGAGATATATTTGGGGATTTCCTTCCGTTTTTCAGCCATGGCTCTGCTCCAGAAGCAGAAGGGCTGTGAGTGACCGTGAGAGCTCAGCCTTCCCTGAGCTGGGTCTCTGTGTGTGACACGAGGGTGAGAGCAGAACTCAAAAACTGCTGCTCTGTCACTGCAAAGCGTTCAGTGTTCAGGGCTGTTCCTCTTTATTCTGCAAAATTCACCACATTTTGTTACTGTGGAGGGATGGAGGGGTGGGATGGAGCCCGAGGCGTTGGCAGGGAAGRGAAGGAAGGATGAAGGAACTGGGGAGCTCTGGAGTTGGGCTGCCCTGGACAAAGGCACAAAGCTGCACTCCCAATTCCCTGACAGGGCTGTCCTGTTCACTGGCAGCAATCTGAGSTGTGTGAAATTCTGTTGCAAACTGGAAAAATGGAAATGCAGAAGCAATAGAATTTCTTGAGTCATCTTAATGGGAATTTTAAACTGTAATTTTTCTTGTTGTTTTGTAAGAACTGAGAAACAGGGAAATCCCTTTGGGGAAGAAAGGGATTTTTGAGTTTCCTAGTCCTGGTGTGATAGAAACCAGTCCGGGCAGGTCCCCAAGAAGTCAGAGAATGCTCCCCAGCTCTAAGTAGCACAAGGCTGTTCAGAGTGCACCAGCAATGAACGTGTAACTAAATAATCTGCTYATATTCATACCTGTGCAGTCTTACTAAAGCTCCATTCACGGTGTGGGGCATGTCCTGCTGGCCGTGCTGCGAGTGGCCACTGCTCAGAGCACACTGAAATGGTGTTGGTGACACACAGGGGACACACAGGGGACACAGGGCAGGGTGTGCAGGGCATTGCTATTGACTGGAGCTGGCCACGTACACAAGAGAGGCTTCTCAAGACCTTCAGGCCCATCTTCGTTCATAACCAAAAACCAAACACTGAATTAAACCGCAGCCATGGGTTTTTTTTCTCTGAAAAATGCAGAAGGTTGAGCTGGTGGGGAAAAAAAAGACTCAAAATGTATTGAGGAGCTGCCTCATGGCATCATTTGAGAGGGAAGAGGTGGAGATGCTGGGGCTGAAGATGTGGCTGTGAACACCCAGAGCTGAGTGGCCCTGCCCTGTGCTGCTGCAGTGCTGTGGCTCTGTCCAGTCCAGCCCAGGGCTCTTGGACAATGTGCAGGGGAGGGACCAAAGCTCTCTGTGTCTGAGCCATGCCCTCCCCAGTGCTCCAGAGAGGCTGCATTTCCCTCAGGATGGAGCTTGTGCTGCTGTTTGGGGTGCAGGAGGTGCCAGTGCCCACCTGTGGGATGGCTTTGGTCCATGGCTGAGAGCTGCTGGAATTTCACCCCAGTGGGCACCTTCTCTGGAGGTGTTCATGACACAGCTGTAATCATCAGATTATTGCAGCTCTTCCCTGCCTCATTTCAAGTTTTCTTCTTGAGTTTCTCTCACTTCTTGTTCCTTGGGAGAAGTGAAACTTGCATTTTGAGAAGTGAGAGCTTTGTGGTCATGTGTTTTCCTTATCAGATGATGCTGTGGAATCCTTTCRTCCCAAGGGCCCAAAGAGCTATTTGTAAATGGGAGTCAGTAACTTGCCAGCCTGTGATGTGTTCCCTTCTGGAGATCAGGAGACCCAGGGACTGAGCTCARATGCTTTGTGCTTGTTGTCACAAGAAGCATGGGCTGGGAGCAGAGCCAGCATCTTCTGACACCCCTTTGACTGCTTTAGCCACAAGATCATTACTCGTCTATGGTCTCATTTATTTTTATTCCCTTCGTTTATTTGTATTTCAAGGACTTTAAAGTTTCCTAACCCTCCTTCCAGGYGGCAGCAGTTCTGCTTTTGGAGGAGAAAGGCGGGTGTAGCAGGGGTCCAAAGGCTGTTCAGAGCCGTGACAGAGTTGATGATTAGTGGAAGTGGTTTTCTACTAAGAGCAGCACAGGAAATCTCCTACGGTGCCATGGGATCTCTAGGAAAAGGCTGTCCCTTCTGGGGCAGGCAGAGTGGGGCCAGGAGTGGGCCACAGCTCTGCCATCACAGCCCTGTGGTGGCCCTGGGATGGGCACTGCGGCCTCACAGCCTGCTGGGGGTGACCA